GCGCGATCGACCCCGACGACCGGGCCGACACTGGCATCATCAAGCTGTCGGAATCGTCAAGCAGTTCACCAGCTAAGGCAGATCGGTCAAGATCGAGAGTATTCGAGCGGGCTCCTTCACCGAAGGCAGCCTCAGGACGTGCACCGCTACCGAGTGAGGATGTGGCCGTTCCAAAGACGCCGCAGCCAGTGGCCAACGGACCAGAGGCGGCTATCTCAGCGACGCCTCTGCGAGCTGCCACGCCGCCTCCAGCGGCTAAGACATCAACGCCATCGTCACCAGCCAGTCAGACTACTCTTGACTACGGCCAGCCAGAGGAGCCGATCTTAGGACCCCTGCCGGAGATACCCCTACCAGGAGTAAGTCACGAAGGACCATCGCCAACTACATCATAGTTGGATAGGTCTCGCACGAGAGACTATGGGCCTGCTCCAGATCCACGAGCCCAGCACGATGAGCACGACCGACAAATTCGACCAGAATCTTTAAAGCATCGACCTGCAGCATCGCCGATGGCAGCCAGAACGCAGCCTCAGAGGCGAGATGCACCAGAAGCTCCGCCTGATGATCGAGTGGCGCCTGGAGTTCGCGCCTCAGCGGCATCGGCAGCATCGGGAGCACCAGCTCCACTAGAGCCAGTCCTGCCCATCGCTGATCCCGCCGACGCCGACGAGACTATCGAGTACGGCCAGGCAACGAGCGAGAATGTTGACGAAGACAAGCAGGATAAGCTCGAGCTACGCAGCTATCAGGTGTGGTTTGATGTGCGTCATGCGGAGCATCGACTGGGGCAGCCTCTGCGCCATGTGGCTCCAGTCGGCTTCAATCCTCACCTCGACGAGGAGCATTTCACACATGCTGTTGCCGACGCCGAGCAGATCCTGCACTTCAGTCAGCAGGCCAAGCGAGGCGAGTTACCCTGGACAGCATCAGAGGCGTTTGCAGTACTTAAGGGGCCGATGACGAGGCCCATGTGTTTCTATTTCGACACTCGCGAAGACCAGTGTTTCTCGGTTTCTTCTGACGACCTCCTCACACCTCAGGAGGTGATCGACAACTGGGATGTTGTAGAGATCGGCGACTATGAGGAGGCAGTATCACTCTACAACCACGATGTCTTCGAGATCGACCTGTCCTCGGATGCTACGAACGTCGTCGACGGCATCTGGGTTCGTAAATGGAAGAATCGGCAGAAGCGAATTGTCAAGTCGAGGTGCTGCGGTCGCGGCTTCTTAGATCGCCAGAAGACGACAGTCAGCCGCCATTCGTCAACAGCCTCAAGGTTAAGCCACAGGCTATTGTGCTCACTGGCCATGCAGTTCGAGTTGGCCCTCGAGAGCTTCGACATTTCAACTGCTTTTCTTCAAGGCCTGAAGTTCTCAGACGTCGTGGCCAAGGATCTTTGGGGCCTCTTGGGCCGTCTTGGGGCGGTCTTGGGGTGCTCTTGGACCGTCTTCAACGCCGTAAAGGCCGACATGTCGTATATGATGACCATGTGCGTTTTCCCATATGAACTTGATGATTTTCGGCTCTTCGGCCCTTCTGAGGACTGTTCTTGGAGGCCTCTTGGGCCGTCTTGGAGGCCTCTTGGCTCGTCTTGGGGCCATCTTGGCGTCTTGGAGCGCTCGTTTGGGTCGTCGCGGGGCGGAAGGCTCGGATTGTCGGTTCAAGCTCCCCCTCTTGGGCCCCCCTTGGGGCCGCCTTGGGGCCCTCTTGGGCCGTCTTGGGGGCCTCTTGGGCCGTCTTGGCGCCCTCTTGGGCCGACTTGGGCGCCTCTTGGGGGCCTCTTGGGCCGCCTTGGGGCGGTCTTGGGGTGCTCTTGGACCGTCTTCAACGCCGTAAAGGCCGACAAGTCGTATATGATGACCATGTGCGTTTTCCCATAGGAATTTGATGATTTTCGGCTCTTCGACCCTTCTGAGGACTGTTCTTGGAGGCCTCTTGGGCCGTCTTGGAGGCCTCCTGGCTCGTCTTGGGGCCATCTTGGGCGTCTTGGAGCGCTCGTTTGGGTCGTCTTGGGGCGGAAGGCTCGGATTGTCGGTTCAAGCTCCCCCGAAGGAGCTAGGCCATGAGGTCAAGGAGGCACGCCAAGTCTGGTTTCGCCCGCCGGCGAACATCTGGAGGCACTGGAAGAACATCCCGAAGAGTAGGATTACCGTGCTGGCTCCACACTTCATCCTGAAGTGCCTCAAGGCGTTGTATGGCCTGGTGGGCGCTCCCTTGTTGTGGCAGCTGGCGCTGTTGCATTATTTGAAGGTGGACATTGGCTACAGGATGAGCACCCACGACGAGTGCTTCCTGATGATCACCAATGGCCGGCAAATTGTATCGTTGTGTATCATTCACGTGGATGACCTTCTTCTAGCAGCGACGAAGGACTTCCTCGACCACATCGCCAAGAAGTTCGGACAGAAGTTCGGGAATCCGACGAGGACAGGCCTTCCGTTCACCTACCTGGGAACGAGACACGAGATGCTCACCCCAGGACATCTGCTGGTTCACCAGCAGCACTACCTCGAGAAGCTACCGGAGGCCAAATTCACGAACGCGTGCAACACCAAGAAGGACCTCCAGGAGCTGGACGAGTACGAGCACCACCAGTTCAGATCGTTGGTTTGCAGTTTACTGTGGCTATGCCTCACGCGAGTGGATATTGCTCATGATGTGGTTTCTCTGCAGTCGGAGATGGTGTGCCCTCAGGTTCAATACATGAAGACGGCCAATCATGTACTGGCGAAGGCTCGCAAGACGAAGGACATGAACGGCCTGCACTACCATCAAGTACCGTTTCCACTGAGGCTCTGCAGTATTCACGACTGCGGGCACGCAAGCAAGAAGAGCTGCTACCCGTACGAGAGCAAGTTTGTCATGATGATGCACGACGACCTCAAGATAGACACGCCCGAGTGGATCACGGGCCAGGACTTGTCCAAGGTCGGAGGCTATGCACACACGCTGTTCTTCAGTGCACGCAAGGCTTCACGAGCTTCGCACTCGACCTCGCATGCAGAGGCGCTATCGGCCGTCGGTTGTACTCAGATGGGCCAGTTGATTGCGGCAAGGCTCATGGAGTTGTTCTGCCAGATGGTGCTACCTCCGAGAACAACTCTCACCGCGCACGACATGCTGGAGCTGAGTCAGAATGATATTACCATCATACCGCATGATGCAGTGAGAGACTGCACGGACCTCTTCGAGCTGATCGCAGGCGGCCGCGGTATACCGTCTGACAAATCACAGAGAGTGGCCATCATGGCACTTCGAGAAGATCGTGTTCATCATCGTATCCGTTCACTGCTACACGTTCCGACCAGAATCATGCTCGCGGACGGTCTTACGAAGGAAAGTTGGTTCGATCAGCTCCTGATTTACTGCACTACAGGCAAGTGGAAGGTCACCCTCACCGAGGGCCAGGCAGTGCGACACAAGAGAGCAGTTCAACACCCGGAAGCTACCGAGAAGGAGATCGAGAATCTGCAGGAGTAGCTGTACTACGACGTCTACTACGACATGCGTTGCAGTCGTGGGAGATTACCCGCGAGAGACATGTATTATATCATGTGATGAGGAGAAATGAGCGTTTGCTTGTGCGTGTTGCTGCTCATCACTCGTCCTACCTCCAGCTTCCTCGATAAAGCTCGGAAAACACAGGAGTTTCCACTGTAGCCTAGCAAGCCATCCCGATGTTAGAAAAGCAAAGTTGCATGTCTTTCAGAAACTACGTAGTTAGAGCCAAGCTGTATGATTTAAAGCAGTCGTGGATCGCTCCACGCTCCGCTTATATGTTTGTTTTCCTACGGTTCTGTAAAGGACAGGCATCGGAGTTAGATTGTGTATGAGTTCGGGGTAAGAGGCTTCAGAACCATCAGAGATGTTCGAGATATGTTTGAATGTTTATTCGACTATCCGTATACGTTATGGCTCAAGCCATCAATGGTTCGACAGCTTACGCTGGAAAACTAATTGGGGAGGGGGAGAGGGGGGGGGAAGGGGAGAGGCGAGCACAGGGAGGGGGAGAGGGGGAGAAGAGGGGAAGAGGGGAGAGGGGTTACTAGAGGCGAGGGGAGGGGAAGAACGCATTGGGAGGGGAGAGGAGATGGGGGAGCGGAGGGCAGGTTGAGGGACGGGAGGGGAGGGCAAGGGGTGCTGAGTGGGAGCTGGGCGAGAGCGCTCCACGAGAGAACGAACCCCCGCCGAGGCGGGCCCCAACTTCCGCGCCACACTGGGGCAGGGCTCCGCTCGCCAGCCGGACTCCCTTGTGCCACCTGGCGGTCCGACAGGGAGCCCATCCTCGAGTGACCAGACAGCACTCGCTGAGGGGGGGGGGACTGACTGAAGGGGCCCAAGCATCCGACGTCGTGGTATTGTTCCGCAACGTTGCACCCCATGAGGTCTGGAACTCTTCCCAGGGACCGGCTCTTCATCCTCAGCCGCTTTTTGACGCCCATGGGGCCTGACGAATGCCCCCGGACACCGGCACTTCCAAACGAAGCAAATCGTCTTGTCCTTGCTGTTTCACGACGCCGCGAAGATGGAAGATGCTTGTGTGTGGGGGGGGGGGCGACCGAGCCATGAACTCCGACGTCGACCCCATCTTTCTGCTGCAATTGTTCGGGGGCGGATCGATCGTCGAAGGCCCCAGGGCCCGAAAAATCCCGGAAGCGCCCAGCGTGGACAGAGTGCGGCGCGGCGGGGCGTGGGGCGGGCAGGGGCGCGGCAGCTGTGGGCGGCGGCGGCACGACGCGCTCTGTTATCTCATCTCTGCTGCTCTTCCTTGGTGTCCCTCCTCCTGCTCTTACTCCCCCTGCTGTTCCTCTCCCTGCCTCCCCTTCTCCCTCTCTCGCTCCCTCCGCAGACGTCTAGCGCCGCGATCATTTTGAGACACGGGCCCCCGACATCTTTCGACCACTTCCCCAGGGCCAGTTTTTAAGCGGCCGCTGCAGCGGTCGCGGCCGCGAGGGATGCGATGCCCAGCTTTTCAGACCAATCGCCCATGGGCACTACTGGTCAAGCTTCATGAGGAATTCCTGTCGAGCGCGGCTGCAGCCGCTGACGCGATTGTTGTCGTGGCACAGGTGACAATGTAATATGACAACAAGTCAAAGTTTCACTGATGGCGGCAGCCAACTCATTGGCGATGTCGCTTGTGGTCGCGTAGTCTTCTCCTGCGCATTCCACGTCCCTGCACTTAGTCAAGTACTTAGCGCTCCGCGCGTCGAGCTCACCCACCGCCGCAATACTGACGTGGTCCTTTCTGGGGCTGCGGCCCCATGGCGGGGTCGCGGGCGCAGAGGGGGATGGGTTGCGGGGGGGGCGGTCCGACGCATGATCGCGGCGGCCTACCCAGCGACCGCAAGCTGCAGCTTGGGGCACGAAGCGGGCGGCGCCCCTACAGAATGTCGGGATCGGCATCAGGCTCGCGGCCGAACCTGATCGCCAAATGCGTCGAGTGCCTACTTCATCAGACCTTCGGCCTAAAGCACGCTGGCTTGGGACCCCATTACTCATTAGCGCCTGCCCGTGCCTTGCCGATAGTAAGGCGCAGCGGTCGTCCTTGCTGAAGGGGCAGCTGAAATTAGCCTTCAACAAAGCCATATGCGGATACGGCGCGCGCAGCGGGCTGGTCTTAATCGCAAACTGCGCCACTGCACCGATGAGCTTCGAACCCATGTACCGCGCCGCGCCCGCTGCTGCGGCTGCAGCCGCGTTGTGCGCGGCGGTGGTGGTGCGGTGGGGCGAGGGGGGACAGGGGGTGGGCCCTGGTGAACGCGTCGCGCTCCCGTGCCAGGTCCCCGATGCAACCGCGCTCTTTCACGAACAGCGCGATGTCGTGGAGGTACTCGGTGCAAGGAAACGGCTGCTCAGCAGCTGCAGTTGCAACCACCTCGTCGAACGGGCAACTCTTCATAGCAATGCTGTTCGCGATGAGCTCGCCCACCTGGTCTTGCATGCCTTGTATGCATCGCGCGCAGGAGATCTCAGTTTTCTTCTCCTTAGCCTCATCTTTCAACGCCTTTGGGGCCCACCAGCCATGCAGCGCTGCAGCACGCGGCTAAGGCGGGTCTAACCTAAAACTACCATGATACACCATGCAAACCATGCGACGCACGCGGCCCCACGCCGCGTCGAGGGGGCGGCGGGGCCGCCGAGCAGTGCGAAGAAACTCAGCAACCCCAAGTATGTGGAGCTCGACCATGTGCGGGGCCATGGAGAACTTCCATCCGTCCGTGACGGCGTCCACGAAGGACGGCTGACAGGCGAGCTCGGCAATGTCAGGCTTGTCGCCCTTGCTACAGAGCTCCTTAAGGGGGCTCTTGCAGCCCGCCCTAATGGGGCGACACCACAATTGTTGCCCAACCATCGTGTAGTGTTGGGTCCTCGTTTGAAGAGACAGCGCCCCGCGTTCACTCCTTCCTCCCGCTGCCCCCCCCATCCTCCCTCATCCCATCCCTGCCTCTGCCCTCGCATGTCTGCGTTTCGGCACACCCAATGCAACGCTTCGCGGCCCCGTAGTGAGCTCTACCGAAGGCCTCAGCGGCAAGGTCCACACGGCGGCACCGCCACATTTTGGCGCACCCCTCACACGGTTTGTAACCCCATAGCGGGATCAGCCGAAGGCCCGATAAGCAAGGTCCACATGGCGGCGCCGCACCATTTTGGTGCACCCCTCACATGGCTCGTGGCCCCAGGAGGGAGCCCCACCGAAGGCGCAACTGGCAGGGTCCTCATGGCGGCGCCGCTTCATTTTGGCGCACCCCTGACGCGGTTCGTGCCGCCATCTGGAACTCCACCGAACGCACCAGGATCAGAGTACTCATGGCGGCGCCGCCCGATTGGGGTACCTCTCACACGGTTCGTGGCCCCATAGCTGAATCAGCAGAAGGCACACGTGGCCAGGTTCACATGGCGGCGCCGCCTCATTTTGGCGCACCCCTCGCGCGGTTCGGATCCCCATCTGGAACTCAACTGAAGGCACACATAGCAAGGTACACATGGCGGCGCCGCCCCATTTTGGCGTATCCCTCACAAGGTTCGTGGCCCCATAGCGGGATCAGCCGAAGGCACAAGTGGCAGGGTACACATGGCGGCACCGCCTCATTTTGGCGCACCCCTCAGGCGGTTCGTCGTCCGGCAGGGAGCTCCACCGAAGGCCCTAGTGGCAAGGTCCATATGGCGGCGCCGCCTCATTTTGGCGCAGCGCACCCTCACGCGGTTCGTGGCCAAATAGGGAGCTCCACCGAAAGCCCCAATGGCGGGGTTCGCACGACTGTGCCGCCCACTGTGGCGCACCCCTCACACGGGTCGTGATCCTATTGGGAGCTCCACCGAAAACGGCGCGACAACACGGTATTCACAGCTGCACATGGTTAGTTCCTTCGCCCGTAAAATGTGTGGTTCCCGCGTAAAGCGAACAGGCGCACCGCGCACTCATGCAGATGGCAAGGCACTATTGTTAACAGCTCCTGTTTCCAAGGCGAAGCGCTCGACCCTGCAAACGGCGCCTCTACTGCCGTGAATTTAGACGCCGATGCCAACGAGAATCCAGTCTTAAACTCGCCGGCTGCTGCAACAAAAGAGCCGACGTGAGTGATCCCGAATCGCCGGCGCGATCGTCGCCGCCGCAATCTGGATTGGTTTCAATTTGATGTACTAGATCTTCTTGACCATCATCGTGCGGGTCAATCATCGTGCAACTGCGGTACTTGGCGTCTATCGCACATTGCCCGCGTCGCCTTAACACGGGTGCCTATCGTGCGCTGGGCTCTTGCATGTTTGTGCTGCAGCCCTGATACGCTTTAAAAAACTAATGGTCGGGCGGACCCGCGAGAACGCTTGAACTCAGGAACCGCCCGCAGCTGGTTCGCAAGGCCAGGCTTCGCAAAGCGCGCGTACATAGCTCTCGCCCACCTTGCGGTACCCTCTGCGGTGTGCGAGCGAATGACGGGTGCCAAAGCGTCCTTCCAAGCGGGCGCCGCCATTGCGCTGCAAACAAGAGCGCGCTGCCCAACCCTGATAGCCAAAAGAACTGCAGCTGTCCGTTTTCGGCGACGCAAGCTGCAGCCCAACGCCGTCGCACGATTGGGGAGGGCATCGCGCGTGAGCTGCAGCTCGGCGGCCGCACCCGCCATAACCCCGTCAGAATTGCCCCACCGCCCCGCCTAACCACTGCATGTACCCCCTCCCATACTCCCCCTGCACCTCGCACTGTGTCCCAGATCCGTCTTTCCAGCGAAGGATCAACAAATTCCCAAACAAAATATAACCAACAACGTAGAAAAAAACATCACATTGCGACAACAAGCAAAACGCTACCCACTGGAACGACAAAGAAGCAGCCAGCGGCGCGGCGGACATGTAAGGGCTGCAGGTTCACGCAGCACGTCGGATTTGTTTCACCGCGCACGCGTTCAGGGGTGCGAAACATCAACCAGACTGAATTTACAAACGCGCGGAACAGCGTTACCCACATTCGGTCAAGCCATGTTGGAACATGCTAACCGATCTTGAACGTTCACTGCTAACCTTTAGAAGAACATGCTACACCTAGTTAATTAAACTAAACATACGTTCATGGCTTCGACGGTGTGTATTGCATCTTGAATTCGACACGGTAAACTACAACTGACTGGTGGGTATTGTATAGTTAAGGGTTTCATGCTGTGTATTGTATATTTAATCCAGGTGGGTCTATAACTATGTGTGCGTGCGTGCTCAAGTCCTATATGACTAGCTAAAGCAAGATATCGACAACATTTATGTATGCAGTCCTTACCCAGGGCATCCGATTGATTGGTCTTCTCAATCCGCGGTCCCAGAGGCCCCGGCCACTGCCCCAGGTGAAGTGTTGCGCCACGGATCCGTTTTTGATGGTCCTGGGGCCCGATAACGGGCTCTGGAGGCCCAAATCGAAGAACTTCGCTCCGCTGGATAAAATCTGAAACCTGGGCCGCCCCCCTGGGTAGTCATCACCTCCGTCTTGGACACCCCCCTCCGCCGCGCGGGCCTCGGCGGCCGCCGCCAGCGGCAGTGGCGCGGCTGCCATGCCAGCCTCGCCCGCTGCCTCTGCTGGGGCCTCGTCGTCGTCGTCGTCGTCGTCGTCGTCGTCGTCGTCGTCGTCGTCGTCGTCGTCCGCTGCCTCGGCCGGAGCCTCCGCGGCCTCGCCGCCCGCGCCAGTCGCGGCCACGCGGCCGCGGAGGAGCGCCACGCGGCGCTGCGCCGTCTCCAGCCGCGCGCGCAGGAGCTCCCGCTGCACCTCCTCTGGCGGCGCGCACGAGGGGGTAGCGCGAGGGGTGCGGCCTTCTAAGAAGGCGGAGGGACTTCTCAGAAGGCAGAAGCTTCCTCAGAAGCCCTCCCGGCCTTTCAGAGTTGAGCAGGGGATCGACTACAGAATTGATTTATCCAAAAATTTATGTCCCGTCGAATCTACGAGACATACCTACAATGCTCCGTAGATCGACTGGTTGTTCTACGTATTTGCTTATGGGTTCGACGAGAAAGTCAAGTTTGGGGTACATCAAATTCTGTAGTCGATTCCATTCTCGAAAGAGGCCTCCTTAGAAGCCCCCCTGGGCTCTTGCAAGAAGTCCCCTGCCTGCTGGGAAGCGCGCCGCCTTCTTAGCAGGCCGCCCCCCTCGCGCCTACCCCTTGTGCGCGCCGCCAGCTCCTTCAGCCGCTTCTCCTTGCGGGGGGCCCGACTTCAATCTCAGACGACATGATTGTTTCAATCCGTGTGCACTTCCTCGATGTTCGTTGATCTACGGAGCATCCTGCGAATTACCGGTAGAGTCGACGGACAATCAAGTTGCGAGTAATTAAATCAATGTTGCAGTCGATCCCCTACTCGAACGCTGAGCATCGCCGAACCAGATCTCAGACGATATGATTGTTTCAATCCTTTCGCAGTTTCTCGATTTCGGCCTCCAGGGGCCATCAAGAACGGGTCCGGGGCGTAATCAAAGCTACCCCCGGGGAAGAAGTCGGGACCGTTGGGGCTGCGGATTGGAAGAAATCAGAGCGGAGGTTGTCAGGGTTCCTGTTCCCACTGGCCCGGCCTGGGCCCCGCTGGCCGATGTCCCCCCCCCATGTGGGGATATAGGCTGTTGCCTTTGGGCTTCGAGGGGCCTCTGCCCAACTGGGGTGGTGGGATGGTGGGGCTGAGATACCATGGCCTGGTGGGGATGGGTATAAGCTGCACGATACCTGGTGGCCTCGGACTCCCCAGAAAGATATCGCCGCACGGTCCTTCCACGCATGGTCTTGGGACCTCGCAGGCCCCAGTCACCAGAGACTCGAGAGGCGCAAAACCGTGCGGTCGCCCTGAAAGTACCCTCCCCCCTCCTCCTCCTCCTCCTCCTCCTGCTCCTCCTCCCCCCTCCTCCTCCTCCTCCTCCTCCTCCTCCTCCTCCTCCTCCTCCTCCTCCTCCTCCTCCTCCTCCTCCTCATCCCCGCTTACTCACCACACGGTGTGATCGCCGCGCTGTTCCCAGACCCCCGACGTACTCCTTCGCAACGTCGACCCGAAAAGTCTAGACCCCTTCCTCTGTAGAACCGGACTCTGTGGGTCCTGACCGAATCGTGTTTGCACTGCCCCGGGGCCCGTCGGAGGCCCCACATGCAGAGGTCGGCAAAGAGGGACAAAAACCTTCCGTCGCGGATGTTTCCCGACGCCAGGGGGGTTATGGGTTGTTGAGGTTGGACGAAGATGATGTCATGATAGGGTTAGCTCAGGATGCGATCCAGGATTTTGAGAGCATCTAGCGGCGCAGCTGGTGCAGAACATTAGGAAGTCTGGGGAACCCTTGAAACCTTGGAAATCTGGATCGCATCATAATCGTGTCCTCTTGCTTCTCTCATTAGTAGGCGGCGCGCCGGGAGGGAAATGAGAGAGGGCGGGCCTTTCTACAAGGCTCGGACATTCCCCAGCCTTTTGACAAATGTTTTTTTTTTGACTGATCCGCTGCCCCTCCAGGGGGGCTATCCAGAACCCGCGAAGGCGCAACAAACTCGAACCACGTCTGACGAGATGCTGGCAACATGCACCAAGCAAACCCGGAGTCACGCGAGGGCCAACCTGCAATAGGTGAGCCAACACGTGAAACCTTAGCTCGTGCAGAAACTTGTGGCGATGCTTACGCTGTCTGGGGATGGGTGTTCAAAAGTTCCGGCACCAGGCCAAGGTGCGGCCTCGAATCACGGATGGACCGGTACACCCAAAATAACACTTTAAATATGTTATATTCCCGTGGAGCCGTCCGCTGAAGCAAAATACCTGGCGTGAAAAGCTCCGTGAATGACCACGTAAACTAGGATGCCAAGTGCATGAGAAAGAGAGGGGAGGAGGAGGAAGAGGAAAAGCAAGGAGCAACACAGCGTGCGGGTGAAGTGCCAATTACCCCCAGCACTCCCCAAGCTTCTGAAAGCGGCCTAACCGCAACTGAAAAAGCCACGTGGTAGGCGAAGGCGGCCGGAAGGCTGGACAGTACGGGCTATAGGGGCGACTCCCTGACTAGGGAGCGGCCGGCGAGACCGGGCGGCCCAGCACCAGCCCCCTCCGCGTGCAGCCGGCGCGAACGCCAATTCGGGGGTGAGCGAGGAAGAGACCGGCAGAGGAGGCGGAGAGCCGGCCCACCCCAGCAGGGTTAGCCGGCGCTCCGCCCCCGGGAGGCGAGAGCGGGAGGAAAGAGATGAGGAGGAAGGGCAGCTCGAATCGGCTGCTCGGGGCACCGTGTTCCAGCGTCCATCGGCCACGCGGCCGGGACAGAGGGGACACGATAGCTTGCACCACATCGCGTCGAAGTGCGCGGCGGCCGAGAGGGGGAGGGGAGGCGGAGGAAAGGAGCGAGGGGAGGAGGAAGCACCAGGAGGTGCGATACAACTTTGAGCCCTTTTTTCCGCTCCACGCCGGCCCAAATAACGACGCTATCGGCCACGCGGCTGGGACATCAGCCGGCACTCGACTGTAAGACAAAATGTTGCCAGCACGCCCCTGCCGTGCACGGGGCCCCCTAAACGCAAAAACCCAGCAATAGCTGGACGAAACTCTGGCCGCAAACACGTGCGAAGAGGGAGGAGGAGGACGACGACGACGAGGAGGAGGAAGAGAAGGAGCCAGACAGCCCAGAGTAAAACTACACTCCGCCAGCCACCAGGCGGCCGTCGCGAGCAAGACAAAGAGAAAACGTGCGTCACTCATTGCCTGGAACGTCTTGAACCTGCGCTGCCTCCCCGAGGGCGATGCGGAAGGCGCCCGAAAGATCCTCTGCTTGCAATTGCCCGTGCCGGCGGGCATTCAGGAGACGATGGAGGGCGTACACCGCCCTCCCCCTGCAGGGCGTGGTCTCCTCCGACCAGTCGAAGCCGAGGAACTCGTCCAGCGCCCGCTGCGGGTCCGGCGGGGCGACCCCGGCCTCGCGCTCGAGGAGCCGAGCGATCACTGGGCACCTCGCGTAATGCACGATGCTGTCGCGGCGGGCGCCGCACCCGAAGTGACACGGGCCCGCCCCTTGAAAGCGCCGCTTGGTGCACCAGCCGTCGCACAGCAAGCGCAAGTACGCGGCCACGACGCGCGGCACGCACCGGGCAGCCATCCAACGCATGCGTTGTCGGGCACGCTGAAAGCGATGCCCGGGGAGCGTGGTCGCCGGCCACTTGTCCAACTGCCGTCGCATGTGCCGCCTCGCCGGGGTGCCCGCGGCGTCCCGAAGCAGTGCTGTTGCTCGGCGCTGCCATCCAATCTGGCTCGTGAGCCAATCGGCGCCCCTGGCGGCAACTTGAAGTTTCTCCTGCATCTCCCGGTCCCCAGCGGCCAGATGTCCCAAGAAATTCTGGCGCCTCCAATCCCCGAACCAGGCGGCCCGGCTCAAGGAGGCCCCCACGTGGCATTGCAGCCCGCGGATGCGCTGTGCGCGCCGGCGCACCTCCAGGGCGCCGCCCGCTTCGAAGCGCGTGACCCGCGCCTTCGCCGCCGTCGCCGCTGAGCGGACGTCCTTGAGGCCGGCGAGCAGATGCAAGGCATCGAGGTGTCTGAGGCAGTCCGGAGTCATCCAGCCGGTGGGGCCACGAAACAAGGCCACGCATGCCCGTTTTTCGTGGTCCGTGAAGAACTCGGGCACGGGGTCGAGTTGGGCCGCGAACATCAGCACCGACGCTATGAAGATCCCTTAGGCCTTCACGGTCAGATGCATCCCCACGCCAAGTTTCCCCCACAACTGTGATCGCTCTTGATACTTGGCCAGCGGGCGGTCCCAAGAACGCTGCCCGCGTCCTGGGCCGACGTAGAAGCCGAGGTACTTGGCCGCGTCCGCAATGCCCAGCCCGCCCCAGGCCGGCACTGCCCTCGACACCGCAGCCCAGGGCACCTCCGTATCCAGCGGATCCAGCGGAACGATGACCGTCTTCGGGATGTTCAGCCAGAGCCCCGACACGCGACCGAACTCCTCGAAGAAACGCCACAACTCGTGCAGCCTGCGGAGAGCTCGCGCAAGAACCAAAGCAAGGTCGTCGGCCCATGCCCGCAGGAGCGCCTCCGGGAAGCGGCGGGCAAGGCGGCGCAGGTAGAGGTCGGAGACGACGGCAAAAAGCAGTGGCGACAGGGGGCACCCCTGGCGGATGCCCCGCGTCTGTTCGACGCCAGAATGCAGGCTGCCCCCGAGCGAAATCTTGCTGTAGTTCCGCCAGCACAAGCAGCCCAAGCACGACAGAAGCCAATCCGGCCAGAATCGGAACATGAGTTGGTGCTCGGTTGAGGGGAAGGCCGCGGCGAAGTCGAAAAATATGGCCTGCGCGCCTTCCCCCGCCGCGGCCTCCTCCAGCATCCGCTCGCCCACGTCGAGTAGGTTCGCGATCATCGAGCGCCCTGGTAGGAATCCCCTCTGGCTGTCCGTGATTCGCTGCGCCAAGAAAGGCTCAATTGCTATCCGAATCGCGCTGGCAAGCAACCGATTGTCGGTGTTCGTCAAGTTAAGTGGCCGGGCACCTCCTGGCGCATACGCGTCCGTACCATCCTCTATCTGGCCACTCGGGGTCTTGGGCAGGAAGATGAGCAAGGACTCGTTAAAGTCAGGGCAATCAGTCGCGAGCATCGCCTGGGCATCTGGCCGACAGCAGTCCAGCAGCGCCTCGTACAAGGTCGACTCTGCCAGGGCACCAAGCCGCTCCACGCAGCGTAAGGGATGCCATCAGGGCCGGGGGCCGAATTCCCAGGTCGGCGCAGTGCTTCGGCGACGTGTTCACGACGAGGACGCAGTCGTCGAAGGCCGCGGTGGGACGGCGCTGGAGAACCCGATGGCGGCTCCCATACTTCGCTGTCCTCAATGGATCGGTTCTCAGCGTCCTCCCGCAGCCACTCCTCGAGCAGGGTCTCGTCAACCCCTCTCGCTGCAAAGACACCCGCCCAGTGGCGGCGCAGAGCTGCGGCCATCTCCTCGGGCGCCGTGGCGTGCCCGCCGTCGGGCAGCAGGAGGGCCTTGAGAGACGACCCGCGCCCAGGAGCAAGTCGGCAGAGAAGCCGGGTGCCCCGCTGCCTCGCCTGGGCTGCTCGCTGGGAGTCCCCAGCCCTGTCCGCGTCGGCTGCCTGTCGAAGCTCCGCCAGAGCGTGGGCCCGGGCAAGTTCGATGGCATGGTCACGGACAGGCCGGAGACGCCGCTCAAGCCAGCCATTGAGATCGTATGGGTTCTGCACCAGCGTAGCCAAATAGGGATGCCGTTCCAAGCATGTGGAAAGCTCCCCCACTGCCCCAGCCTCTGCGGCCCGCAAGCACTTCATTGTGATACCCAATTTATCCTCGTCGGTCTGGGCAGTCGCCCTGCCCCCGGAAGCCCTGCCGAGGTGCGAAGCAACTTCTATCAAACACCTTTTGAGCAGTTGCAGCCTGCGGAGCCCCGACGCTTCTGGCTCCTCCCGACAAGCCGCCTGGAAAGCGAGAGCCGTCCGCCGTCCGAAATCGTCGTGGTCGATGGCGGCCTGGGCAACCCCCCTGTTCTCCGCAGAGCGCCAATGAGGGGCGCGACGGGAGACCAGGACAGCCCGGTGATTGGACAGCCCTGGTTTCCACTCGAGGGCCACCGCCTTGACCTCCCGGTCGAGTTGGTCCGCGGCGTGGGCGTTGTAGTAGAAGCGGTCTAGACGCGCCCTCGTCGAAGCCGAAGCGAAGGTCATGCCAGCCTGGTGCAACTCCTCCATGCGGAAAGGCCCCCCCACCACGTTCTGGAAGTGACGCTCTTCCCGCCGATCTCGCTGACCTGTGGTTTCCGCCGACGTGCAGGCCCGACGGTCGGCCGGCTCCGGCACCCAATTGAAGTCCCCGCCGAGGATCGTCAGCACCAGGTCAGGGGACGCCACCCGCTGCGCAAGTCGCACGCGCAAGTGGGCACGTAGCTCTGGAAAGGTCGGGGTGGCCGAGAGCTGAGAAGGGAGCGCTCCATAGAGGTCGGCCTCGTGCACCTCCCCGCCAGTAGGGAAATACGTGACCAGAATGTCCAGGGCGCCGGCGCCACCACGCAACGACAGCATCGCAGCCCTGCCGGGCCAGATGACCGACCAGCGCGGCGGGTCAGAGAAGCGCGCCAAGGAAACTGTCCTGCACCACGATGCCGACCCCGGCGTGAGCCGTGGAGGCGCCCGCGGACCACCAGGCCGAACAGCCCGTCGGCCGCCGCCATATCATATGGCCGCCCTCCGCGCCGTGCGCCTCTGTGATGAGAACGGCATCGCTCCGCGCCAGAAGAGAGCGGAGGTACCGCATCTTCATCTCTCGTCGCCCCTCGTCTGCTGCGAAGAGCGCCCGTGCATTCCACTCGACGAGCGTGAAGTCACCCCGGTACGGGTTGAGGTCGCGCTGAGCCCCGGGTGCTGCTGGCAGCGGCTGCGGGGCCCCCGCCGGAGAGGGTACAGAGAGCGCAGGCAGGGCGATACTGGCCCGGGGCGTATGGCCCAAAGCTCGGTGAAGACGCTGACGACGGCATAAGCAGATAGGGATATCCATATTGCCGTGGACCCAGCCTCGTGGAACCAAGTCTTGTTCCTGAAAATGCAAATGTGGCAGTTGTGGTAATAGACGATCCTCCAAAGAAGGTGACTGGCCCCTCAGCCGGCCCCTCGAACTTGCAGTAGAGTTGGGTCTGCCCCCGGACAGATACGGCTGAGAGCGGAGGCGGCTCGACCGGTTCAGCCCCGAAGAAACGGAGCAGAGATGGAAGACGACCTCGATGCACCAGCCCTCCTCGCCGCCGGCGGACACGAAATGAATTCCAGCATGCATCAGCACGGTGTCCGGGAGACAGGGAGCTATTGCCCCTGCCCCCCCGGCCGTTTCCCGGCCTGCGCGAAGCCTCCACCGTGTCGTTGAAGACGGCGATGCCGACCAGCTCACCACCAACCTGCAACGTCTGACCGTGAAGCCCAGCGTACACGCGGCGTACGGCTTCCTGGCTGTCTAGCAGAAGCCGCACTCTCCCTGGCTCCGCCGCGGGGTCCTTGGACGCCAAGTGGACGTACTCCCCAGGCCGGGCGTCGCGCGAGTAGTCCGTCTCTGTCAGCTGCAAGCCTACTGCGTGAGCCAGGTGGTTCAACAGCAGGCGAATCACCGCCCCGTCCTCGCGACCCACCTCGCCTAGCAGGGACATCTCGGTGATGTGATCCAAGTGCGAAACCACCCGACAGCCCTGGCGTCGCGATGCCGCCATGGCCCCAGGCGTGGCATCCGGGCTGGCGATTGTCCGCCCGCCGCATCGCGAAGCACGCCACTTGAGGCGGGCTTTGGCTTCGGTGGAGTCCTCCCTCAGCACCGTGTTCATGGTGTTTGTCCACGCTGCTTCCTCCGCGTCAGTGAAGACAAGGAATTTGGTGCGCCCCACTGCCACCAGCTGAGAGCACAGAGGCCAATAATGACGCAGGTTGGCCCCAGAGGTCTCGAGTATCTGCGCCTCCCCGGCCGTGTACAATGTGCTGAGGCCGTAGTAAGCGTCGCCTGGAAGCACCCGCTGCCGGAGGTCCCGGAGCTGCAGCACAACGTGAAGGTCAGCCCAGTCTGGTGGAAATAACATGTCCAGTTGGACACGAGGTATTGCCTGGGTGCTCAGAATGCTCCGCCGAGGATTGCGGCAGACGACCCCCTGCATGCGCAGCAACTCGGGGAGGACCGACGGGAGCGCGAGTGCAGGCAGATCGAGGCGAACGGTCCGCGCGGCCGGCAGCGCCAGCAGCGGGTCGGCTGGGGTCAAGAGCCTCGGCACCACCCGGTCGCCCTCGTGGCGGAGCGTAAAGATGGCCAATCCTGTGCGCTCATGCCGCGGCCCCCCCGGGCTCGGGAGGACGACCTCCATCGGCGCCACCGTGAAGGTGTAGTCGCGGACGAGGGCGGCCACACACGATTTGGACCCCAGGAGCGGGTGCCACCAGAGGTCCAGGACGCCGGCCACGCTGGTCATGCCCTGCACGAGCGGGATGGTCGCCACCATGCGGGTGGAGCGCGGACGCTTATCCGACGGGAGCCGGAGCAACGTCGCCAAGTATCGCGTGAGCGCATTCTCATCGTCCGGCGCCCAGAGCACCACGGCCTGGCCCCCGAGGGAGTCCCATAGCCTTGCGTCTCCCTTCTCCGCCATGAGCCCCAACTGGCGGGCCTCCTGAATGGCCCGTGCCGGCACCGGCGCATGAGCCCTGACTGTACCGAGGACGTCCGACCACTGCGTGAAGTTCCTCTCCCCTGGGACGAGCGCACTGGCCTGCAGCAAAGCAAGCGCCTGCGGGCCCAGCTCCCGGTGGAGGGGCAACTGGCCAGCTTTGAGCTTGCGGCGCTCGCGGAGCAGCGGGCCCAGCTCGTCGTTGCAGTGGGCCTCGGCCGCAGCGAGGGCGTTGACAAACGTCTCCGCCGTCTGCTGGTCGGCTGCCGCCCAGCCGGCAGCCCCTGCGAGGCCGCACAAGAGCCGGCCGATGCGAGATCGCGTCGCAATCAAAGTATTGGTAGGCGCAGGGCCCTCGTACAGCGCGAGGCCCAAGCGCTTCCACGGGTCCCTCGAGGTACAGTCATACCCCAGGCGACCCAGAATGCCCGCGAGCGCCGCCCAGTTGGCCGGGAATGTAATGGCCACCTCTGGAGCTGCCTGGGGTGCCGTCGCCGTCGCTGCCTTCACAAGCTCGAGGTGCTGCATGACTTCCCCGTCAATGAACTCCTGCAGCAGGCGGACGGGGACCTGTAGGGCGGTGCCGAGCTCCCCCGGCGCCGCTGCCCCGGCTGCTGCAGGGGGGGGCGCTGCTGGCAATCCGGGAGGAGCCCTGGCCGGCGCGCCTGGGGCTGCCGCTGGGAGCCCTGCCGGTGCTGCAGTCCCGACCTCGTCGACCTCGATGGCATCGTCGCTGATGTCCAGGCGCTCGGCGGTCTGAGTCAGGCCCGTGTCGTCGGCGCGGGGGCCTGCGGCGGCCGGGGCTGCCGAGTCCGCGCCAGCGGCGGCCGCAGCTGCGCCGGTGGCGGCCGCGGCAGCCGCAGCGGCGGCAGCGGCGGTGCCGGGGAGCGCCTGGCTGCAGCGTCTGCACCGGCCCTGCTCGTCGGCCACAGCCGGGAGCGCGCCGAAGAGCGGGCACGCCGTATGTGTGCAGGCCATCGCGGGCAGAGAGGGGAGTCTGAGAGGGAAAGAAAGGATGCCTGAATGCGCCCTGTGCGCGGGCATTTGGGGCCGACTTGAGCCAGCCTTTTGACAAATGTTGCAGGCCTTTCCCGAAGACGCAGAAAACTGTTCAGAAGGCTGGAGAGCTTCTGAGACGCCCCGCCGCCTTCTGAGAGGGTCTTCTCCTTCTCACGTCCTCCCCTCGCTCGCCGCCGAACTAGGTCGGCTACGAGCAAGAGTGACCCTGGGCAAGGGTGACCATTTGTGCGCGGACTGAGGGGGCGCAAAGTGGCCAAATCCATGCGCACAAGCAGCCACTATCGCATCGCGCTCAGCGATCGTGGGGACACCGATGAGCCTGCATTAAAGGCCACTCCAGCGAAGGTTCACTCTTACCATGTCGTCGATTTTAGGGGGCACCGATCTCCGCGTCCGCCCTCGCCGGCCCTGGAGGCGCGCCAGAGCTGCCGCCCCCGGCCGCGGCCTCGAACGCCGGCGCCAGCTCTGCCGGGCTCCAACGCCCTGGCACTGCCGCGGAGGCGCCCCGCAGCCTCTGGCCGAGGCGCGCCAGCAGCAGGGACCTGCCAAATCTCCAACGATATGATGTTTGTCGATCCTGGCGAAGTTCCTCGATTTCGGCCTTCAGGGCCTGATGTCGGGCCCCAGGGCCATCAAAAATGGATGGCGCAACACTACCTGGGGAAGGAATTTGAACCTCTGAGGCCGCGGATTGGAAAAAATCGGAGCCGAGGGTGTCAGGGTTCCTGTCAACACTGGCGCAGCATGGGCCCCGCTGGCCGATGTCCATCCCATGTGGGGATTTAGGCTGTTTGTTGCCTTTGGGCTTCGGGGGGCCTCTGCCCAACTGGGGTGGTGGGATGGCGGGGCTGAGATACTGTGGCCTGGTGGGGATGGGGATAGGTTGCACGATACTGGCCTCTGGTCCTCCGTCAGGCACTTGGGGCCAGCGACTGCGGCAGCGCCGTGCGCGCCGCTCTCGAAGACAACCCGCGGAGAACGCGGCGCGCCCGCGCCGCGTGGTGGGCCCGCGGCGCCGTCGCGGGCCTCCGCGGCCGCCCGCGGCGAACAAGGATGGCCCGCAACAGCAGGTGCGGGCGCTGCGGTTCGCGCGCCCGCGCCGCGCAGGCCCTCCAGCTCGGAGTGCGCAGCGGCGCCGTCGCAAGCCTCCGCGGTAGCCCGCGGCGCACAGGGATGGCCCGCAGGCGCGGGCGCCAAGGTTCGGGCGCCCGCGCCGCGCGGGCCCTCCAGCTCGGAGTGCGCGGCACGGTCGCGGGTCTCCGCGGCAGCCCGCGGCGAGCGGGGATGGCACGCGGCAACAGCAGGCGCGGGCGATGCGGCTTGAGCGCCCAAGCCGCGCATGCCCTCTGGCTCGGAGTGCGCATCGCCGTCGCAAGCCTCCGCGGCAGCCCGCGCTGGCGCTGCGGCTCCTGCGGCTCGTGCGCCCGCGCCGCGCAGGCCCTCCAGCTCGGAAGGCACCGCGCCGTTGCGCGCGTCCGCGGCGGCCCGCGGCGAGCAGGGATGGCCCGCAGCAGCAGCAGCAGCAGCAGCAGCAGCAGCAGCAGCAGGCGCGGGCGCCAGGGTTCGGGCGCCCGCGCCGCGCAGGCCCTCCAGCTCGGAGCGCGCGGCGCCGTTAGAGGCCTCCAGCGCAGCAGATCGGCGCGCCTCCGGGGGCCTCAGGAAGTCCGCCAGCGTCGGTGGCGCGCCCGCCCGCGCACCGCAACGGGGAAGCCGCGCCCCCCGGCTCCGGCTCCTGCTGGGGCTGCTGTTCGAGGACGGAAAGAACAGCATAAACATAAACTGTTGGAATTCCAGGCGGACTTCTTGGTTCCGCGCCGGGCTCCGGCGGCGCACCGAACGCCGCAACTGGCGAAGCTAATCCGGAGCCGATCCAAGAAACCAGCGCGGAGCTCCGACAGCTTACGTTTACAGTCGAAATCTATAGTAAAGACGGGCGAGAAGGATGCAAGGGCCTTGGACGCGAAAAATTGCACATTCTGGGCGGCGAATGGCCAACACCCTGAAGGGCTGGCCAATGAAAACCGCGAAGGCGGGCCGCAGAGGCAAGGACGCTAGAGCACCCTAAGGACATCCGTGCGTCTTTACCACGAGTTGTGACTGATATCGTTCGTTCTCTCCTCGAGCTGTCGCTGATCTCGTGCACCTCGACGGCGCCGCCGCGGCCCGCGCCCGCGGGCCGCTCCGGCGGCCGCGAACAGCCCCCGACGGCGCCGGCGCCGTCGGCGGCGCGTCCGCTGGCAGGCTGCCCCAGCGGCTCGTCGCGGGCGACAACTTCCCGCCCGCGGGCCAACGCGGCGCCGTCCGCGCCATCAGCGCTGGCCTTCGGTGGTTCAAAGTGGGGTCCTGAAAAGGATGGGGTCCTGAGGACGAGGTGCCTCAAAGAGTGTAAACCCACCCTTGGAAATCGTTCCCAACACGCGTGCCGCAATCCTTTTTTTCCGCAGCTCTTTCGAAGCTTCCCTTAGAGTTATTCAAAGCCCCGCTCTCGAGCCAGCAAGCTCCACAGACATCCTCTCAAACGTCCTGGCAAGCGTCACCCACGAGCTCGTCACTCGGCTGGGACTGCTCCGCGATCCGGGTTTTGGACGCCACAACTTCCTCGAACAATAGAGCGCGTTTCCTTTTCGCGCCATAGCGGGCGTTATGGGGGGGGGGGAGGGGGAGGGGGGGGGCGGAAAGGGGGCACGGCGCAGCGCCCGCTCCCCAAATTGTGGTGCTGGACGCAATGCGGCAGCGCCGGGGGCGCACTGAAGGGGGGGGGCATTGCGTTACAGGGGGGGATGGGGAGGAGGGCGTGCCGCGCGTCATGGCCCAGAGGGCACACAAAACAATCATCGTATCGATGTATCCCCTGCACAAGCCCGATGCACTACTCGAGGAGAGGGGGGGCGGGTGAGCGGGCGATTTTGGCGGACGCTCGGGATGCGCTCTCGGGGTTAGTCCGCATTGGACCCCCGCCCTTTGCCCCCCGGTGGGGGGGGGGGGGGGGGAACTTGCAGGGTGGGCGGGTGGAAGCGGGCGAGAGCAGCAGCCCCTCTAGCCAGACGGCTGCCAGGGGAAGGGAGGAAGGAGGAGAGAGATGCACGGCGGGGGGGGACTATCCCGTCCATGGGAAGACCGCCTAACAGAATCACATTCCCCTGGACAAGCGCGGCGCGAGACACGGGGCTGACCGCGCGCGCCCCGCGCGCACACGCAATGGCGCCAAGGGCGGGGCGGGCCTGCCCCACGCCAGCGCCGAGGCGGCCACCCCCCAGGCCGGCCTGCAAACCAGACGGGCACCGAAACGAGCACTGGCGGGCTCGGGAGCGAGCCCCGCCGCGCAAAAGGGGCCCTCGGGCGCCTCCGCCTATTAGGTGAGCTCCCCCCACGGGTTCTGCTGGTACCCGGGCCCCGCCCCTGGGCACCGTTGCTGCCCCGCCGTCGCCCTTACTTTGACGCAGGTGCCCTTGTCGAGATCGACGAGGAGGGCGCACCGTGGGTGGTGACAGAGTCCGGCCCCCCCTTTCGGCGCCCTTTCATCCCCCTCCTGAGGTGCCATCCATCTGATATACTGCCGCTCCTTCCCAGAGGTCCGACACTTGCTAACTTAGTCCAGAGGAATCCTACGTGCGATGCGCTAGGCCAGAGCGCGTTGTAAGTGTATCATTAGGCCGGAGGGTTGGTGATGTAGGTGATATCTCTCTCTCTCTCTCTCTCTTTCTCTTTCTCTTTCTCTCTCTCTATATATATATATACACATGCATGCACACGCATGTGCATTCTACATAATGTTGTATGCATATAAAGGCACATGCAATTAACTAAAGCCTCAACCCTTCTATTCCTGGCATTCGCCCCTCTCTTTCCGCTACGCTGCAATCGGAGAGACATCTAAGAGACCTGCTGTGCATCTGGGGCCTGTCTGCCGCTGAAGATGGATGCGGCTGGCAGGCACAAGAAAGACAGAGCCTCACTAGAGGCTCGGACTGGCACGGCAGACTCAGTAACCAAGGCGAGGGCTGGCCACGGGGGAGAGAAAGGACTGCGGAAAATGCGGGAGATCGGCTTTATGGACCAAAGCCTCAACCCTTCTATTCCTGACATTCGCCCCTCTCTTTCCGCTACGCTGCAATCGGAGAGACATCTAAGAGACCTGCTGTGCATCTGGGGCCTGTCTGCCGCTGAAGATGGATGCGGCTGGCAGGCACAAGAAAGACAGAGCCTCACTAGAGGCTCGGACTGGCACGGCAGACTCAGTAACCCGTCACCCCATTCTTCGCAGCAATGCTGCGCTCCCGGCTCAGCTCCGACACGATCAGGAAGAACGAACTGAAAACGACAACGAACAAGTGCGAGACCAGGCGGATGACCACCGACTCTTGGAAGCCCACAGGGACCTGGATGAAGGAGAGGATCACGATGGGGGCCTCATGGAGCACCATATGGAAGGCCAAGACGAAGCAGGGATCCCGTCGCGAACCCACGTAACAGCCTGTGGCCACATCCAAGATACCTGAGAGCCCATCAGGAAGATCCCCGTTCTGGTCGCCTCTGGAAGTTCGGACATATATGTAGTAGAGACCAGTTCCTGGAGGTAGATGAGCATGACTTTCTGAGACATCCAACGACCCCTATGTTGGACGAGATGCGGATCATCCGTCTCCAAGAAGAGCTGGGTGGCGCCACCCGCACGGAGAGAAGCAAGATCGAGAGCTCCTCGGCATTTCTCCCCTAGGTTGAGAGGGGGCCGCAACTCCCGACACAGGCTGTTGAACCGCTTCCTGAAGGTCTGGCCGCTCATCGGCCAGAGCATCGCATCAGGAGGTTCGGCGCCGAAGATGCAGTCCAGCATCTCGACGATGTCGGGCGGCTCGACTCGGGCGCTCTGGACCTTGGCCCCAAGTGTGGCCGTCTTCGGGAGTTGGATGGTGAAGAGTGCGTACGGCCTCTCGAAAAGGATGTCACGTGGCAGTACGAGCTGGGCACGCTTCGCAAGCAGAAACTCGCTCGGGCGCATGATGCCAGCAAACCCCGCAGCGAGCAGCACCGCGATCCGAGGCCACTCCCGCAGGAGGCAGAGGCCTGTCAAGGCCTTGAGGACCACCAGCGGCATAGCAATGTGGTGGTTCCCTGGTTCGAGGGCAATCCACTGGTAACCCAGGTCCCACGCAGCTCCGAGGAGCTTCTTGAGCTCCGGCGCCCGAGAGGCCACGGCGTTCACGGTGTCGGCGAACCTGCTGTAGGGGGCTCCCTCGCGCCACAGACACTGGCCAAACTCAACCAGAACTCCGTTGATGATGCGAGGGTCCCCCATTGTCTGCTCCAGCAAGCTCCCAAGACAAGGATACCCAGCAATCTCCACTAACCAATGGTCGAATTCAGTAAGTAACTGTTCTCTGGAACGGCGAGTGGCCGCACGAATCGGACGCCCTGAAGGCAAAGGAACTGCACGACGATTAGCAAACTCTGGATCATGTTTAGCGAGACGAGACCTTCCAAAATCTGGCATAGCGGGGCTGGGGAGACCTCCTGCTGGCTCACAAGTAGTCGCAACCAGAAACACGAAGAGGATACCAGTTCTGCTCCAAAATGGTGCACCCGCCAGCGATACGTACGTACAGGTGTCAGTGATGCAAGAGCCCTGCACGATGAAACACAGGAGCGAATTCACTCTTCTCTGACTTCACTGGGACGCGAGCCACTCCAGTGGCCGTCCAGCGGCCTCCGCCCGAGCCTTGTCCAGGCACCCCGCAGAGGGCGGGAGCAGGAGCCAGGCGACGACCCTCGGCAAGGGCGGTCCGCAGCGCTCGAAGTCCGCTGCTCCCTAGCAGCAGGCAGACGAGCCGCAGCCACGCAGCGCAGGCCTTGGCTGTGGGTAGCCGCGTGAGCAGCCAGTCCAGCAGGTCCGCGTGCTCCAGCCAGTCAGGCCTCGGGCGGCATGCTGCGCGGACCGCCTGGCGCCGCGTCGGGTCGTCTGCAACGTTGAGCCGCGAAGGGGCGAAGGAGTAGGAGGGGTAGAGGGACCCGGCGATCTGCAGGGCGCAGGACTTCTCCAGAGGACGCGTCAACGCCCTGCTCGAGGACCGTCCCTTTGCCTGAGAGCACAACGTGACTCTGGAATCAATAAGCGCAGCGAACCTACGATCTCCACCATCACGAACAAGACCCTCCAAGAGATGCACCACGACATTCGACTCCAAGATGTCAATGTGCCCCGGGGACCTCCAAGCCCATCTCCTGAGCTCCTCCCAAGACCCCGACATCAGCAGCTCGTTGATCACAAGCCGCTCGGAGCCCACTGGGGGCCGCATAGTATCGCCTACCTCACGACGCCGTCTGATAGCCTCTAGGTACCGAGCTCCCAATGCCACGACGACCCCACGGGTATATGTAGCAATATATTTGGTAGCCGCTCCCTCGATAATCGTGTGTGTGTGTGTGGGCGCGGTGGCGCCGTGTGTTAGGACAGCGCGCCGCCATTTCGGTGAACTCGGGGAAGCCTACGGTCATCCAGCGGAATTCCTTGCGGTAGACGACGACTCCATCGAGGGAAGGGTCATGGTAGGCACAAGAGGCAAACCAGGTCTCGGCGGCTCCAAGCTCCAAGAGGCGAGACCACTCCCGCAGCCAAGCCATCTTAGACAGGCGAGGCTGCTCCAGCCCACCAGGAGCCTCTACGCGGAGCCCAACCAACATCAGTAGCATACAGCGGAAGGCCAGTAGATTGCCCAAGCGCGTCTTGGGATCCGCGCGATTGAACCCGATAGGCTGACGGTAGGAACGGACAGCGGGGTGAGCGGCAGGCGAGAACGTTGTACACGGAGGCTCTGCGGCAAAGGTAAGGATGCGGCCCTCATACAGCATCCACACCGCCCATTCCATCAGACGACGCGACGATAGGTCATAGTGCCGACAGTACGATATGTCAATGACAGGGCCGACAAGGACACCCTGGGACGCGAGGTACCGAGTGAGGACACCAGAGCCGCCGGCAAACTCAATGAAGTCGAAGACCATGGCGATCCCGCGGCGGACGTACGTGGGGAGATCCGACTCGACGCACTGCGCGCTCTCCATGCTGTGCGGGAGCGCGCCGGCGCTCCGTAGGACTCCACAGGCCCGGCTATCCAGTCGGGAATACCCACCTCGGCGTTCACCACAGCGCCAAACGGCCGACGACAGCGCGGGCGAGACTTCTAATGTACAGATTGCCCCAAAGGAAGGAGAGGCGTCGGTAGCATAGATTACGTCACTGAAGGGGACGGTTAGGTCCGTCTCTGCGGCGATCGACAACACAGAGGCCAAGCTGAGCTCGTCCTTGACAGCACGAGGGATAATGTGATCAATGGTGCGGTCCTGGGCAACGAAGCTGTATACGTGGTTGAGGCAGACGAATAGGGGTCGACGGTAGGCGAACACTGCACCCAAGGACCCCACCAGAGTATCCACCAGCGCCACAGGAGCTCGAGGAAGCTGAGCTGCCCGAAGACAGAGCTCCGCCAACGGCAGTCGCCGCTCGACGGGCGCACCAACTGGTACGTACCCTTGATCTACCATCCGAGCTGAGGAGTCGACCTCAGCGCCAACGACCACGAAGCGCTCGGCGTCCCTGACCTCCTTAGAGGAACTGCCTGATAACGAGGAGTCTACGTAGGCCAGGCGCCCAGCACGATCGAACAACTCCAAATCTCGACGAGACTCGCCTGGAGGATAAGCGTGACGCCCAATAACAAGGTAGTCGTCGATACACAAGCCTTCCACCACGTCACCACGGGGGAAGGGCGCACGACCATCTATGAAGTTCTCGGGCGCAAGCAGGCCGTAGCTCCTGAGAAGATTGAGGTGGCCGCCCTGAGTCACGTCGACGGCAGCGTGGTCCCCCATGGGATTGGAAGCCAGAGTGCCGTGTACGAGCCCCGAGCCACGTGGACCAGCATCAGGTCCAGATGCTTCCAGAAGAAATCGGTCCCCCTGAAAGGCACGACGACCCAGACGACCTGGACGGCCCCCTGCAGCAGCAGAATGAAGACGATCAGGATCGACACCAAGGGACTTGTGAAGTTGGTCTATAGGCAAGGCTGGGCCCAGGACGTTAGTGGCGGCGCGCTCAGGTGTGACGTGCTCCTGATAGAACATATCCCGACGGTCCGTAGACGAGCCCCGTAGACATTCAGAACCCCGAACAACACTAAGTTCACAGAGCCGAGCACCTGCAGCAAGGTGAGAGGCGGGTCCTCCCACGATCTTCCCCTCCTGGCCGTTCGGTCCCCTCCGGTCGATGATCAACCGGTCCCGCGAGGCGTTCTTCCACGCGTTGAACGGGTTACACTGCTCATGGGCCGCCACAGGGCCCTCGGTGAACCCAAGGAGCCCTGCCTTGTCCAGCTTCTGGAAGAAGGCCAACTGCTGGGCCCGGGGGAGCTTGCTGGCGCCCCCCCACTGGCACGACGACGGGTCAACCCGGCTAGTACGCAGGACCCCCGGCTCGTCGAAGGCAAGCGACAGCGGAGGCTCCAAGAAATCCCTGATGGACCAGTGAGCGAGAGGGCCCTCAAGGACCAGACGTTCAGGACAGAGAGGGGCGTAGGCTCCAGGGACAGGGTGAACTCGGCGGGGGCCCTGAAGTCCGTGCGGATCAACAGCTCTGAGATGATCTGAAAGCGCACGTGCATAACTGTCATAGGCATCTGACTGTTCAACGTCCAATTCACCAACACTGCGAGAGGTCAATTCTCCATGCTCCTGAAAGGCACCAATAGCATCGCTAAAAAGATGTGAAGTAGAATCGGCTTTACGACCAGCGAAGAGTGGGTAGGGGTTAATTCCATCACGACACCAGCTCCAACATATCAAACGCAGACGGTCCAAGCAAGCTTTTTGCACAGAGGACGCTGGTGACCGAAGGAAGGAAAGGTCACGCGGCCGAGGCGGCCGCCCCTCGTAGACGTAGTTCAGCGCGCACACGAGGACGAGGAGCAGCTGCTCGACCTTCGCGTCGAGGTCAGCGTAGCCTCCCTCCCTGCGAGCCGCCCCTTGCAGCCCATCAACAGGAGGAAGAGGAAGTGGGAAGACTGGCGCGGTGCGCGATGCCCCAGCGAGCTGCCGCTGCTGAAGCTGCGCTGCAGCGCAAACGGAGGCTCCGATGTACGAAGAGAAGTTCGTCCTCAGAGCCCGCAAACGACGGAGTAAGGACCCGCTCCACGAAAGCGGCGCGACCACTTCACCACGCTGCTGGACATGATGGCGAGGGTCGGCAGGTCCTGGCCAGAGGAGCCGTCCGTCAGGGGCTCCTCCTGTGTCCCCCTCTCGGTCAGGGGAGGCCCTCATGCCGGCGATGCCGGCTTCGGCCTCCTGCGGGGCGGCCGCGGCTTGGCGCCGGCCTCCGCGGCCCCGCCTCCGGGGCCGATCACACCGGCGCCTTCGGGCTGGCGGCTGCTCGGGGGCCCCGCGGGCTCTGGGCACCGGCGTCCGCCCCTGAGGTCGCTGCAGCTCGCTCCTCCTGGTCTCCAGCAGGTCCAGCTCCCGCAGGTAGGCGAGGTTCACCGTGGACCAGCGCGGGTTCGCCAGCGAGCTGAACTGTCGTGTCCCCACTGCGGACTGCCCGCCCCTCGCAAACAGCGAGGCGGGCGGGTCGCGCTCGAACTGGTACAGCCACATCATGTCGAGCCTGCCTCCGTCGATCCTGGCCCGGTCCAGGCCCATCAGCAGCAGCGCGGCGGAGTCCGCCGCCTCCGCGATCTGATTCATCCACAGGCGGTCCACGATGTCCGCCACCTGCCACGCGATCAGGGCGAGGTCCCGCACCGTGTTGGGACTCCCTGGCGTGAACTCCGACCATCCGCCCGTCCTCTCGAGCCATAGGCGGGGCTCGGGAGGGTCGTAGGCGACGCCCCGGGGCTGGCGCGAGGAGCGGCCCTGTGCGGCCATGGCCTCCATCAACGACCTGGAGAAGCTGCCGGGCGAGGTTCGCCTCGCCGCGATGAGCGCCTCGCGGTGGGCCGTGCCTCGCACGCCGGCGCCGATGTTGCCTCCCCCGAGGCCCATGAGGTCGTCGTTGCCTCCGGCACCGCCTTCCTCGCCGCGCTGGCTGAAGGCTCGGGCAGCTCGCATCAGCGCGGCCGCGAAGCGCTCCATCTCCGTGCCGCCCCCGGCCGCGTCGTCCTCGCCCTCCCCGGCGAAGTCCTCGACAGTCCCCGGGAAAGCCCCTGCGGGCGCGGCCGTGGTCCGAAGGCCACGCAGCTCGGGTCCAGGGGGGGCTCCGTGACGACCCAGGACGGCCTGCCAGGCAGCCGGCGACTCGAAGTCCACGGCTCCGCTGCGCGAGGGCGGCCCTGGCGGCGGCGCTGGGCGGCCAAGGGCCGACGGCGCTGGCGGAGGGGCGACCCCGAAGGCCGTAGGCGGAGAGCGCCCCGCGAGAGCGCCTCCGCTCCCCAGCAGCGGAGCCGCAGCCACCTTCCCTGCTGCGGCGCGAGCCAGCGGCCCTCCTGGCGGGGCTGCCCGCGGGAGCGCGGGCTGCGGCGGGCGCTGCAGAGGAGGCGGCCTCCCAGCCCGCCGCGGCGGCGGCTCGAGGGGCCCGTCCGACTCCGCGAAGCCGTCCCGCAGCACGCCCGCCACCTCCGCTGCCTCTTCCTCGGCGGGCTGCTCGGAGGTCCTCCCGACAATCACCGCGGACTCGGCCTCCTCCTCTCCGGCTGTGAAGAACTCCGCAAAGGCCTCCTCGCCGAACTGCGAGCGGAAGGCCCGCGAGGACTCCTCCAGCACCGCCCGTCCATGCGGCCAGTGCCGCGCCCGCGGGGTGAAGTGCCGAAGGACCCGCTGGGCGTGCCGCTCGTCCTCGTAGTACACGGCCTCCGGCACCAGCTCCGTCAGCACGCCCTCGTCGACGTCCACGAGGAGGATCTCGAACGACACGGTGGCCAGCGCACTGGCGGGGTTGGCCAGCCCTGCGCCTCGAGCTCTGGCCCTGACGAAGGGCCCGAGGGCATGGTCCTCCTCCTGCTGGCTCGCAGCGAGCTCGGTCTCGAGGATGCTGCCCCCTGGGACCGCGAGCATGAGACCACCCCGACGCCGGCGTACCAGGGCAGCTGCGATCGCCACACCGTCTGGAGCGCCCTCCTCCTCTTCCCGAAGCCATATGAGACGGCTGTAGGAGTCGGGCGCGTCGCTGATTGCAATCGCACCATCGACGGTCCTGGCCTCCATTACAATTGATACCCAGCGAGCCGCCGACGGTTGACAAGACTGTTCGGTGCCTGCACCTGATCCTCGAGCTTCCTCCGAGCGGCGGCGTGGTCACGCCGCCGCCGGGCCAGGCCCGCGGCAGCTGTGGTGCAGCCCAGGCAGCAGAGTGCGCAGCTGCCCCCGACCACGAAGGCGAGCACGAGCCCCCACAGCGGCCAGCCCTCCGGGGGGCAGGCGCACGTGAAGGCGGGCTGTGCCCCCACGGCAGGGGCAGGGCTGCCCGCAGCCCGTCCGAGTCCCGACAGCCAGTAGCCCCCCGCGGCGGCCAAGGGCACGAGGGCGGCGGGGCCGAGCGCGCTGGCGCCCAGGGCGGTGGTCGCCAGGACCACGTCGACCATGCGCGGGCGCCCAGCGCGAGGCCCCCCCCCCTCCTTACGAGAGAAAGGACTGCGGAAAATGCGGGAGATCGGCTTTATGGACCATTGTCACACTGTCTGATGCATATATACACACATACACGTATAGTGTATACACACTGTACGTGTACGTGTGTATATTTGTGTATAGGTGTTATATAAACATACATGCAATACCCGACCAACCACCAGATACACCGGTCAACCCAGCAATGCAGCACAACAACCAACAACCAACGCCAACACGCCAACAACAACATACCAACCAACACAACACATCAACGCCATAACAACCAACACCCAATGACCACCAACCAACGCCAGCTTCCAACATACATCATAACAACCAACAACCAACAACCACACACCAACAAGCAACGAGCAACCCCTGCCGCGGCGGGCCTGATACAAACCAACGGCACGAAACGACGCCAAACCAAAACACCCACCACCACGACGACCACCACCACCACTGCCACCACGTCACGACCAGAACACGACGACCACGGCGACGGCGGCGCACGGCGATGACAACGGCGGACGTCGGTCGGCCCGCCGAAACCCCCGAGAGCTCGGAGCTACGGGCGGGCGCGGCCTTCGAGGCCGAGAAAGGGGGCGGGGAATGGCCGCGGCAGAGCGGCAGCGCTGCAGGCCCTTCTGATGGAATTACTCTTCCCCTGTCGTTCTCCTCCTCCTCCTCCTTCTCCTCCTCCCCCTTCTCCCCCCCTCTCAGCCTCTTCCTCCTCCTCTTCTGCTTCCTCCCCCTTCTCCTCGACCCCCATCTCCCTCCTGCCCCCCTGTTCCCCCCCCCCCCCCTCGCCCCCCGACCGAGTCTGTCTGACCTCGCCAGGGGCGGACAAAGAGGAGGAGGAGGAGGAGGAAACAGAAGAGGAGGAGGTGGAAAAATGAGGAGGGGGAGGGCGATGAGGAGGCTGATGATGAGGAAGAGGATGAAAAGGGTGCCTCCTCGCCCCTCAGGGACGCGTCCGCCCTGAAGGGCGCCCTGTTGCCCTTCGTCAAGAAGCGGCACTGGCTTCAGCACGGGGCCAACCCAGGCCCAGGGTCGAGAACGCCCTTGCGTTTGCGCGCCTCGATCGAGAAGAGCGCAAACGCAGGCGCGCCCTCGAACCTTCGAGGGAACGACCGCTTCGGGCCCGAGCGCATCAAAGTTATCCATGAGCACCGCGAGATGATCTCGGAGCTGGAACGCACCTGCGCCAATTTCGCGATCGACCCGTCGACGCGCGAGAGGGCTTTCCTCGACATCGGCCAGTCGAAGGCCGAAGAGTGGGAGCTCGACGAACAGGAGTGCAAAACGTGGGCGTCGCAGAACTGCTTCGAGGGCAACCATTTTTCTAGGGGGTGACAGGTCCAACCTCGAGGACCTCCATGTTCTTCCAAGGGTTGAGGGGGGGTGGGGGGGGGGGGGGGGGCGGGGGGGGGGGGGGCATATTTTCCAAGACGTGGGCTTCCAGGAGGTTCGACGGCCGTGTTTTCCAAGGGTGGAGGGGGGGCTCCATGTTTCCCAGGGGTTGGGCTTCCAGGTTCGACGGCCATGATTTCCAGGGGGCGAGGGAAGCCTCGAGGGCGCCCAGGGGAAGAGCAGGATGAGAAGGGGGAGTTATAAGAGAAGGGATCGGAGGAGGCGGAGGAGGAGAAGGAGGAGGGAGGAGGGGGAGGAGAAAAGGGGGAGGAGGAGGAGGACGAGGACGAGGAGGAGGAGGAGGAGGAGGAGGGGAGGAGCAGGAGCAGGAGGAGGAGGAGGAGGAGGAGGAGGAGGAGGATGGGGGGGGGGGAAAGGGCGGGAGGAGGAGGAGCAAGAGTAAGAGTAAGAGGAAGAGGAAGATCAGCAGCAGCGGGAAGGCCGACATCCCCCCCGCCGAATGCTGCTGTCGCAGTCCTCGGCTGCCCTCGGATGGCGGGCAACGGGGGAGAGGAGAGAGAGAGAGAGAGAGAGAGAGAGAGAGAGAGAGAGAGAGAGAGAGAGAGAGAGAGAGAGAGAGAGAGAGAGAGAGAGCGAGAGAGAGAGATCGGACAAGTAGGCGGACCAGGGTCCGTCCGCGAGGCGCACTGCGGTGCGACAACTCGCCAAACACTATTTGCGGCGGTGCAGCCTTAAGATGCGAGGGCGGGCAACAAAACCCCCTCCCCCGGCGCAATGCGACAGACGCTACAGACGGCGGACAGACGGTGAAGATCTCACATGTCAGACCGCGTGAAGAAAGAGGCCCCAACAAGGAAGGCGACGTGCTGACACGTGGCTAGGCGGTTTGGCAGACCGCCAGTTGGGCGCTTGGCCGCAAAGCGGCGCGCAGGGACGGGGCACCCCCCGCCCCCACGCCCTGACACCGTGGACGCGGAGCCACGCGTACACACGGGCAGGCAGAAAGGAGGAAATTAGCGCGGGGCACCAGGCGGAGCGCCGCGGAGCGATGACAGCATAGCTTGGATGGTGAGTGGCGGCGCAGCACCATCGGGCGAGGGCGTAAGCAGCTCGGCGAAGGCACGCCCGGCGCGGTGGAGGCGCTGGAGCAGAGGGCCTTGACGGGCTTGAGCAGCGGCAAGGTCGGCGGCGAGAGCAGCACACCTCTGCTGAAGAGCGGCCATAGCCTGGGACAGCTCAGTTTCGCGGTCGGTGAGGGGCGGCTGCTCAGTGCCAGCGGCCGCGGGCCTCGTGGCAGGGACGAGGTCATCAGTGCGCCTGGCCAGGTGGTGGACTAGCGCAGTACGGCACTCCGTGTGCTGACGGCCGTCACCCTTGATAGGCGACTGGAGGGTAACACGCGGCCCCAGGGCTGGAGCCGCTAGGGCCACGCCCCGTGAGGTCGGAAGAGCCGCATCCTCGCGCCCAGCAACAATGGAAGCGTGGACGGGGTGCGACGGCCTGACTGGCTCGGTGCCCTGCGGGGGGGCTGGAGCCGCCCCCGCGGGCTGGCGCTGGTGGGGGGACGGAGTGGGTGGCACGGTAGGACCAATCATGATGCCGTGCGAGGGCTCGGATGTCGGCCGCGTAGTCGGGTGGCGTCTCGATGGGGCGGCATCGTCGGCAGCGTGGGGTGTCGGCGGAGCGTCGTCTATGCTGCCACTCAGTCCGAGGGGATCAGCCAGGTCATCGTCGGCGTCTTGGCGGTGAGCGACATCATCATGTGGGTGCGATGTCGCTCTCGGTGTCGGAGTCGCGGTAGGCGTCGAGAGGTTGCCCGACGGGGCAGGGTTTGCGCTGGCTGGGCCGTCGTCCAAGAAGTCCAATCCCCCACCGAAGCCGAACGGGTCGTCCTCCTGTTCGTCGAGCATCGCCCGTTGGGCCTCGGCCCAGAGCTCATCCGGGTCTTGCGGGATGAATGGTCCAGCCGCGGTTGGTGCCTGGTCCGACAGCAGGGGGTTTGGTTCCATTTTGCTGAGTTCCGCAGCTGTAAACCCAGCCCTGCGGTGTGGGAGCGGCAGAGTGCGGTGTCTGCGCTCGTAGATAGCGACAGCGACCCCATGGAGCACGGTCGCTTGGCGATGTCGTGTTTTGGCAGCTTCGACAATGTGGTCAGGAAGGTTGTGAGTGCGTGCCGCCATTGTGGCAAGGGCGTCGGCCTGACGGTTGAACTCCTCCGCAATGGGCCCGATGAGCCCAAGGTCGATGCCCATGTCTCCCAGATGGCTGGCGATTTTTTCGACGCGAAACATGTTGGGCTTGGCCATAACACATCGGTGGATCTTTTCCCAGAGCTCCGCGTGCGTGCCCTGCGGCGCTGGATGTCCGTCGATGATGCTTTGGAACCCATCGACCACCGCCTGGTTGTCCACGAAAACGTGCACGGGCCGTTCGGCACATGCCGTAAGGTGGACAATGGCGAGGGTCTCCGCAACCTGGGCGTTCTGCGTTAGGCCGTGAACGCGTGCACTGTAGTTCATGCGGTGGTCGATGCCGTAGTAGACGCCGTAGCCCGCTCGTGCTAGCAATGGGATGGCTTGGTTGGTGCATGCACCGTCCGTGGCAGCGTAGACCCATGTCCAACCAGTGTCGTGGTCAAGGTAGGTGGTGTAGGTGTCCTGGGCTGAAGCCGCAGGATCTCCCTCAGGGGGGGGCCGCGGTATGGGCTGTGGCAGCGGGTCCCTCGCGAGGTCGGCCTGCAGGTCGAGGAGGGCTGGGTCTTCGTCAAAGAGCCCGCAGTGTCTTGTGTGCGGCGGAAGACGGGCCCACTGGTCGTCACTGATGAGGGTGGTGAGAGGGAGTCTTTCTCGGGCCCAGCACTTGCAGTCGCGGACAGTGTGCTCCTGAGTTTCCTCTTCCTCGTCGCAGTATCGGCAGATGGGGCTGGGGTCTGCCGACGTGTTTGATCGGGATCGTCGCTGTTGGGTGTGATCCCCGCCCGACAGGTAGTTGAGGAGGAGCGCCAGCTGCCAGGCAGTGCATTTGGCTGCTCCTTTAGTTCGGGCGAGCCACGTGCTGGCGAAGAGGTCGAGGCCCTGTCTGACAGAGGCTAGGTAGCCAAGGTCGTGTCGCCGTGGCTTGATCCTCCGCAGAAAAGCCCTGCGTTGCGAGGCCCGCAGCATGTGTAGGAAGGCGTTTTGGGGTAAATTCAGCCAGCTGATCTGGCAGCCCCAGTCGTCGTACATGATGCCAAATGTGGGCCAGGTCCATCGGAGCTGCTGGAGCGACTGGACGAGTCGTCCGACGGGTCCTCCACCAAACAGGGTCTGGACGTGGTGTTGAAGGTCTCTGGCGAGCCCGCAGAGTGTAACGTCGCGGTTTACCTGTCGCCGCAGGCACAGGAATGCTTCACGCTGCGTGATGGCGTCGATCTCCAGGGCGTGTCCTGGGACGCACACGGCCATGAGAGTCCAGAACTCGACCCACTTGTTCCCCTTGGGGCGGATAGCCGCCTTGAGGGCGTGGTTGTAGGCAGTTTTGGCTGGGCCTGATGGTGCTTGAATGTCGGTGCCCGTGGTGCAGACGCTGGCAGCCAGGGAACGGGCGTGCCGCGCCTTGA